TCAGGAGACGACTTGTGGGCCCAGCATTTGCACTTTTACTGAATATGCCTAATAGGTTGTTACTGAAAGTGCTTGATAGGGAAAATTAACTTAAAAAGGGATGTTGATGGAGATGAAGAAAACTGGTGAAAGAGACTTTCTAAGAAAACACAAGAACACAGGAACAGGGGGTCCCTAGAAAAGTAGAGATCCTAACGTTGCTCTTTTTTCACCCTGAAACAATGCATGTGACGTCACTTCCTAGGTGCTAATTTACCGGAAAAGAGAACAGAATTAGGTAACATCTATTCAGATACTTATTGAGCAATTTTATTGAATTAGCCCTTTGGAAAGTATAATCATGTTATCAACAAAGATTGAACGTGGATATGATTTTTTCAGTTTCTCAGATGATGGAAACTGAGATGAAAATACCAGCACCGCAAATGACTTGGCCAAGGTGAATAATGAGTGCGGGTTAAACCCAGGACCGGAGAGCAGATGATCTGAAAACCCCAGCGCTTGCTCACCTCACTGGGCTGGAGCATCTGGATTTCTACTTGACCCTGAGGAAGCATGAAAGACCCCACTGCCTCCTCCCCTCACAGCACCATGACCACCAACACCCGGATTGGAGCTTCCCAGCCCCCCTTCCTTCCCTACCTTGGAAAGGCCATTGGTTCCCAGGATCAGCAAAAATACTTGCAAAATACAGATCTGACACAGTGCTTGTGTCCAGAATAACAAAGAACTCTTCAAACTCAATAATAAGAAAGTGAACAACCCAATTTAAAAGTGGGCAAAAGATCTGAACACCTCACCCAAAAGATACACAGATAGCAATAGGTATATGAAAGAGCAACTCAAAGTCATTTGTCATCAGAAAATTGCTTGTGAAAACAATGAGATAACAAGATCACAACCTATTAGAGTGGCTAAAATCTGTAAAAAGTAACAATCTCAAAAGCTGTCACACAAACAGAGCAACAGGAACTCTGATTGTTGGTAGAAATGCAACACAGTACAATCACTTTGGGAAAGAGTTTGGGAGGTTTTTTTTTAAAGCTAAACATAGTCTTGCTATATAATCTCGCAATGGCAGTCGATTAGCCAAATGAAAGAAAACTTATGTTCACTCAAAAACCTGCACACAAATATTTACAGCAGTTTTACTTATTCTCAGCAAAACTAGAAGTAACCAAGATGTGTTCTTCCACAACGCGAATGGACAAACACAATTGTGCTGTATCCATACACTGGAAGGCTAGTCAGTGACGAAAGAAATGAGCTATCGAGCAATGAAAAGACATAAAAGGAATGTTCAATTGATAACGCTTGAAAGAAGCCAGTCTGAAAACCTACATACCCTATGATTCCAACGGTAGGACATTCTGAGAAAGTCAAAAAGATACAGTAAATGATCAGTGGTTGCCAAGGGCGAAGGAGGAAAGGAGGGATGGATTCGTGAAACACAGGGAGTTTTCAGCAGTGAAACTATTACATATGATACTGTATTGGGGATTCATGACACCGTGCAATTTAAAAACCCACAGAATTGTTAAAAAAGAAAAAAAGATCAAGATGGAACCCTTAATGTAACTATAGACTTTAGTTAAGTATAATGATCAATATGGTTTATCCAGTGTAACAAATGTGCCACACTATTGCAAGACACTAATGGGGGAAGGCACATGGGAACTCTCTACAGTCTGCTCAATTTCTGTAAGCCTAGAACTGTTCTATAAAGTAACATCTATAAAGCTTTCTAAATTAGAAGTGAAGGCTCCCAATCCAGTCTTTGGCGGCATCCTGATATTGCGTGGTTAATACTGGGCCTTGAGATGCACAACCTGGAGTCAGAGCAGTTTGAAGATTTCAATGTCTGTCCCTGGTGTGCCCCTGGAATCCAGAGGCAGATCAGCTAGGTCATAGTGGCATCAACACTGCAGACAGTGCAGTTTCTGGTAAGGACAGGGAGAAACCAGCTTGGAAGGCAGAACTTGGCAAATACTTGAACCACAGATCAAAGAGAAGGAGACAGGGAGGAGCCGCAGCCTACAGAATAAGCTCCCTGACTGAAAGATAAAGGTAGCCTCAGAGATTTCAGCAAATTCTGAGAGAGAATTAGAAGTCACAAAAAGAACTTAGGTTTCAGAGCAAAGCGGTCTATTTAAAAAGAAAGGGAAGCTGGGAGCAGTGGCTCACACCTGTAATTCCAGCACTTTGGGAGGCCAAGGTGGGCAAATCACCTGAAGTCAGGAGTTCGCGACCAGCCTGGCCAATATGTTGAAAACCTGTCTCTACTTAAAAATACAAACATTAGCTGGGCATGGTGGCGCTGTCCTGTAGTCCCACCTACTTGGGAGGCTGAGGCAGGAGAATTTCTGGAACCAGGGAGGTGGAGGTTGTATGAGCTGAGATCATGCTACTGCACTCCCCGCCTGGTGTCAGAGAGAGACTCCATTTCAAAAAGAAAGAAAGAAAGAAAGGGAAGGAAAAAAGGGAGAGAGGGAGGAAGGAATGGAGGGAACTTAGGTAAAGACTAGAATATCTGGGAATGGGCTTAAACCATTAATCCTTTCCGTTCATGGCCACATGCTACTAATCATAGCATAGAGAAATTATACTGTAACATCAAATGCAGTTAGAATGGGGTGAGAAGCTGCTCCCCGACATCTCCTTTCTCCTCTAAGGACACATTCAGAATTCACTGGGAACACAGATACTGAATCTGGCCTTTGGGTAAGTTTGGACATCCACATGAAGGAGCCAGGGCACCGGACACCAGCACACCAGACCACGACCTTCCCCGCTGCCCCTTGCCTGCTTCGGAAGCCACCCCATCGTGGGTGGGGCCTCAGTCCCAGGTCTCATGTTGTCCATTTGCTTTCTCACTGGGCTTCTCTCCTTGCACTGGCTCCTACTTTCCCCAGGACCCAATGATAGCCGCCTGGGAAGGACACAAACTGGCAGTGTCCCTTTCTCTCCAACACCTCTCGACGCCTGCAGAGGTGGGCTCCAGACCCACTCCATGAGTCATGACTTGATACTTGCTCACAGTGATATCTCTATCCCAGAGCAGGGCCTGGCACTTCATAGCCACACCACGACAGCTCAGTGAAAGGAGGCATCTCCCACACGGCCCTGGAGGACAAGAATTCACTGTGGCCCAGAACTTTCTAGTCCCAAAAGATCCCAGATAGTTAGATGTGAAAGGCTTTAGAAGGTGGCCATTCTTTCAAACCATTATACTGGCAGCTGCACCATGTTTGCCCACCCTGGACATGTGTGGTGGGCACCAGTCACAACCACACACATCTCCCCACCCAGGACAGTGCAGCAGCATTAGTGTGGGGGTGCCAGTGGGCAGGCAAGGGGGAACCATGAAAGCTGAAGAGGAGAAAGCAGGTGGCAGTGGGGGCAGAGAGAGAGAGAGAGAGAGACAGAGACAGAGAGAGATTGGGAGAGGCAGATCTAGCCACTGAGGAAAAATGCAGAAGAGAACACTTGTCTGCTCAAGTAAAATAACTTACACCTAACCAGGGGCAAGGGTGCTGCAGGTCGTGGGTGCCCTGCCCTGGTCCTGCTGTGATATTTAGGGACCATGACATCTTCCCTTTGAATCTAAATCATAATAGAGAGGAGACGCTGTCCCTATGTAGCTGCAATGCCTTGTGATTTCACCTTCTGGATCTGGTGGCCCTTCACGTCTGCTCACTTGGTGGGAGGCAGCTCTTGGTGCACCAAATAGAATGATTCAAAAATCAGAGCCTTGGAGAGCTCACTGGAAGCCCTGAACAGCGGGAGCTGGTGGCATCCCCAGGTGAAGGCCAAGGGCCCAGTGCTGAGGCTCCACACGGCCTCAGGAGGATGGCGGGGCAATCTCGTGTGAGCGCCCACACCCCCAGGAGCCTCTTCCTGGGGAAATGGGCCCCACGCCCAGCTTGTCTCTGCACAGGCCCTGGCCAGGCGTCCAGGGCACTGGCTGAGTCCTGGGTGATGCTAATCCCTGTGTCTTGACGTCGTGGTGGCTCCAAGGAGACGCCATGATGCTTCCACTTGGAACTGGACTTGCGAAGAAAATGGCTCCCGCTGCCGTCAGTCTCCTCGGACTTCGGCAATTGGGTTCCGCCTTCTGGAACCGGAGCAGGACGCTTTTTGGGTCGCCCCAGGTGTGGGTGGCCTTGGATCTGCCGTCCTGCCCAGGCCTTGAGGACTGCTGACGCTCATCGCCTCTGTCGGTGTCGCTGCACTCACACTCACCATGAAGACCCCCAAATGTCCCCCGACTAGGAACGTCGTCCTCCGCTTCCTCTCCGACCTTGGTGGGCTTTCCTGTGAGTGTCGGCTGCGTGGGAGGTCGGTGGTGGGAGGGTGGGAGCCTGGAGAAGGAAGAGGAATGGGGGGCCAGAGGGATGGAGGAGGAGGAGGAGGAGGAGGAAGAGGAGGAGGAGGAGGAGGGGAGGGAGAGGAGGCAGGATGGACAGAGAGCGGGAGGGGCTGGGAAAATGGGTGTGGGGGGCTGCGAGGAAGACAGGGAGCAGGAGGGGGTTGGAAATGGATGACAGGAGGAGGAGAAGGGGGACGAGGAGAAGGCAGAAGGAGGGCAGAAACCCCCGCATACTCCCAATCCCGTTCTGGAAATGCTCAGCTGTGCTCCATGCACAAAGGGAAGAGGTCAGTTGCAAAGAAAAAGAAGAGACCCCAGCGGGTGGGGGCTCGGCCGAATTTTCACGTCGGGGCAGGAAACTGGCAACTCGGGCCAACTGGCGGCTTTTGTGGAGGCGTAAATATAGCTCTTCCGGGTCCTGATCCCAAGAGGTGCTTAATCTCATTCTCTGAGATAGAAACCGAAAGAGAAGAGCAGAGAGAAGCACGTCTGGGCGACTCCTCCTATTGCAGTTAAAGGTTACTCAGGTCCTGTGTGACCAGAAGAAAACAGCTGCGAAGGAAATTCTGGTGACCCTGGAGGCTGAGAATTCACCTGCAAATGCCAATAACCGAGAGTGCTCCGGACAGGCGGTTCCATGGTGTAATGGTGAGCACTCTGGACTCTGAATCCAGCGATCCGAGTTCAAAATCTCGGTGGGACCTTGTCGTTAGCTGTGCACAAAAGCTGGTCTTTTACACTGGAGCCGGAAGGAAGGCGTTCCAGGAGGCAAACTCCGCCTCAAAGATAAGGGAAAGGGGTGTGGATTCCGTTTGCCCTTTGTTCCAAGTCCTGGGTCAGAGGAGGGAAGGTTTGGGTCCCGGAGGGTTCCCCGCAGGGTGCGGGCTGCTGCAAGTCCCCGCGTCCCTCCTGCTCCCGACTTGCAATGCGTCCCCGGTGGATGTCACTTGCGCTCTCCTATCCCCTCCTCAGGGACCAGGTCCCAAAAACTGGGTTCTCACAGTGGCCTGATCCACAGGGAAATTGCCAAAGCATCCAATGGGAGTCACCAAGCCTGGAGGGTCCCCGTCCTGAGCGGGCCTCTTGGCCCGTGCAATGGGAGGGGCCAGAGCCCACAGCCAGTGCCCCAGCGACCCAGGAAGCCCCACCCCGTGACCCTGGGTTTTGGGGTGAGAGGTCTCCGCCACTGAAATGGCTGCCTCGCCTCGATCCTAGACCCGGAGATGCCTTTCACCCAGAACATCTCATAATGGCACCCGTTGTCTTTTGGTAAGAAACAGTGGCATGAAAGTTTGATGCGGATAGCTCAGTCAGTCGTTGGTGATTGTGTCTGGGTATAGGGTCGATGGCTGGAGACCTACCTTAGGAGTAATAGTGTTTTATTCAGGTGGCCCATCCTATTCCGAATGTTAATTTGCTCTGTTCTTCATATTTAGATTTTTTTTTGCGAATTTCTAGCTCCCACGTCTCTATTGCGGGCTCTTTGTCGCTGTTTCACTAAGCTTTGGAAGCTGAGTCTGGAAATCTCATTCTTTGGTCCCCAGGTGTCTGGGTATAGGGTCGATGGCTGGAGACCTACCTTAGGAGTAATAGTGTTTTATTCAGGTGGCCCATCCTATTCCGAATGTTAATTGCTCTGTTCTTCATATTTAGATTTTTTTGCCGAATTTCTAGCTCCCACGTCTCTATTGCGGGCTCTTTGTCGCTGTTTCACTAAGCTTTGGAAGCTGAGTCTGGAAATCTCATTCTTTGGTCCCAGGATCTCAGCTGGAAAGAGAAATCCGCGGCAGCGGCCTCTTAAGCTCGCGGACTGGAAGCCCTGGTCCTGATCCTCCGCAGCCTGGAGGGAGCTCCCGCAGGGCCACAGGGAAGAGGAGGCTGAGCAGCCCAGAGGGATGAGTGTCAGACGCCGGGCTCCCCCTCGACCGGCCAGGACCCCAGCCCCAAGGAGAAGAGGACGCCTTAGGACCAGACAGATGCAAAAATGTTTTCTTCTGCGCAGTAGAACACTTCGGATGAGGCTCATGGTGGGCGTTGAGAGCGCGCTAAGATGTCCCTCCAGGCGCTCAGGACCATCGCTCTGATTTCATATTTTGAAAATATGAGAATTTTCAGCAGTTACAAAGGACTGAAAAACACCGAAGTCTTTGAGGCAGTCAGTTTGGAGGATGTGGGGAGGTGAGGTGTGGGGTGGGAGAGAGGTGCCTTGTTGGCTCCTTGGAGTGGACCGGGAGGAAGGAAAACACACACACACGCTGTTTCCCCTTGCAGGCTGGACTGAAGGGCCTGGGATGGAAAATTGCACAGTGAAAGAGGAGCAGGTGCATTGAAAGTTGCTATCCCTAGAGAGAAGTGCGGGCGGGGCCAGGACGCTGCCGTCACTGCTGCTGTTCACCACCAGCTTTGCAGTGTGTGAGACCTTCATAACAGTGTATAGTGCATGCAGATCACTCGTGTTTACAAGCAACTGATCACAATTCCTTACAGATTTCTTTGTTCCTTCCCCACTCCCACTGCTTCACTTGTCTAAACTTAAAGGAAAAAATAAACGTTTGTTTTTACACATGATGTTGTTTAAGTTGATCCTCAGCCCACCCTCCTCAAGCAGCTGGGATCACAGGTGTACAACACGGTGTCCAGCTAATTCTTGTGTATTTATAGTGATGGGGGTTTTGCCATGTTGGCCAGGCTGGTCTCGAACTCCTGGACTCAAGTGATCTGCCTGCCTGGGCCTCCCAAAGTGCTGGGATTAAGTGCTGGCCTGCGTGCCCAGCCATCATTTGTATTTTGCATTTAAATATTTTACAGTCATATGTATCACTTCTCAAAGATTCTGGGTTTTGTAGCATGTGAATGATGGGGTTCCAGACACGCTACTCCAAAATATAACACCTTGAGCTCTTAAACATTTATACTAAAGGGATTTGAGAAAACAACAGAAGCAGGAAGGCCACTGTCACCTCCCCCTGCCCTTCGTCCCGGAAGCCAATCATAAGGCTCTCATGTGAGAGGTGCCCTCTCTGTACCCAGAGGAAATGTGCATCGCTGTGTCTGAAGGTACAGGGACACAGAGAAGAGTCTGAATGTATAGGCCTGGCTATGTTTCCCCCAGCTTATTACCATTAGATGGTACTGTGGGGGTGATGGCCCACAGGGTCATGGATTGTCCCTTATGCTGTGCTGAGGCACAGGATCCAAGAAATAAAGACACAGGACACAGAAGTACAAGGAAAATGCAGCTGGGCTCGGGGAGCCACGCCACCTATGAGTGGAGTCAGGCATTGAGGCCCCGAATGTCCAGAGTGTGAGTATTTATTGTGTATAGGTTAGGGGGGCAGGGCAGTGAGTGATGTCATCTTTAAGGATAGTGATAGGGTCGTGAGCAATAAAACTAGGGGTCCACCCCTATTCGGTCACCTAGGCTGGGAGATGGACAGTGCACAGCAGGGAGTCCATTCCCATTAGGTCATCGAGGCAAGGGCCATGTGCAGTATGGAGTCCATCCCATTAGGTCACCGAGGCATGGAGGTGGGCCGTGTGCAGTGAAGAGGGTGCAGTGTGCAATACCTCTATGTATGGGCAAGCTACTAAGAAGATTTAAAGGAGGATGCTTTAAGTCACACAGCAGTGACAGAGCTGTCAGGGTCTACACCACCTGGTGGCAGCTTCCAATGAGTTCTATAGGGGATGCTTTTCAAGCAGCACAGTAACAAGAGCTGGTAAAGTTCACAGTCGCCAAGGTGCGATTGCTGGTCTGAGGGCAGCCTCCCACAAGAACTGGAGCAAGGTCCTCAACTCCTTATCAGGAGGAGTGGCTCTCGCCCCAAGCCTCCCATACAGCGGGTATCTTTACGATACTGAACGCTGCCCCCTGGGCCATGGATTCTTGTCCTGGTGTAACTGCTCTTCCCTTAAATCATGCTGTGCACTATGTCTGCTCTAGGCATTCCTCCAATTATAAGCTGCTTATTCCTTAATTCATGCTCTGTACTCTGTCCACTCTAGGCATTCCTCTGATTATAAACTAAGATATCATTTTATATATATGGAAATAACTGAATGGTAGGATATTCTTTAGGCACTCATTCTATGAACTAATATATGATTATATAGAGAGGATTGTACAAAGGGAAATAACTGAGCAGTAACACTATAAACTGAGATATTCTCCAAGCCCTATTTCTGTAAACTGAGATATTCTCCAGGCCTTAATTGTGCCAGGATTCTGCTTAGCTCTCCTTCCTCAGTACCTCTACAGGGGGTTCCCCACATCGTACTCTTTTCATTCCTTTCACACTTCTCTATGACTATCCACTCTTCATCTAACCTACTGTTAAAGAAAAAAAACCCTGAGGCTTAGCTGTTTCCATGGGCCTTCATTTCCTTTGGAAGGCGCTCCAGTCATGTGAAACTGACATTAAATAACTAAGTATGCTCTTCTCTTGTTAGTCTGTCTTTTGCTGTAAGGGTCTCAGCAGTGAACCTAGGCTGGGCGAGGAAAAATCATATTTCCTCCCCTGCGGGCACAAATGTCTTCCACTTTAAAACTATAAAAATTTTATTGAGGCTGATTTGATGCAAGAAATCGAATCACTGATTTCCTTTAGATGAGCTAATAAAGTCCCAGTTCCTCCCAGAGAGAAATAGGGTTTGGTTTTGTTTTGTTTTTTGAGACCAAGTTTCACTTGTTGCCCAGGCTAAAGGGCAATGGTGTGATCTTGGCTCACCCTAACCTCCACCTCCTGGGTTCAAGTGATTCTCCTGCCTCAGCCTCCAAGGTAGCTGGGATTACAGGCATGCACCACCATGCCCAGCTAATTTCGTATTTTTAGTAGAGACGGGGTTTCTCCATGTTGGTCAGGCTGGTGTTGAACTCCTGACCTCAGGTGATCCTCCCACTTTGGCCTCTCAAAGTGCTGGGATTATAGGCATGAGCCACCGTGGACAGCCAGAGAAACACTTCTATAGCTCATTCCCTGAAGCTCCTTGAGGGTCAAACCTGCTGAAGATTGAGGGACTTCCTGGACCTCCCCCCAGGAGATCACTGCTGGTGAGAGGATTGCCGCAGTCTCCCTGGGAGGGTGCACGGCCACTGGAAAGTATCACTGCTGTGACTTCAACACAGCCGGTTTTCATCACATCTGCTCTTTCTATTTGTTTTTTTGGAGATGAGACTCGCTCTATCACCCAGGGTATAGTGATAGTGGTGCAATCACAGCTCACTGCAACCTCTGCCTCCTCGGTTCAAGTGATTCTTCTGCCTCAGTCTCCCGAGTCACTGGGATTACAGATATGCACCACAATGGGGAGCTAATTTTTGTATTTTTAGTAGAGACGGAGTTTCGCCGTGATGGCCAGGCTAGTCTCGGACTCCTGACCTCAGGTTTTCTGCCCACCTCAGCCTTTCAAAGTGCTGGGATTACAGGCATGAGCGCCTGTACCTGGCCACGTCTGCTCTTTGCACTGCTGCAGGAAACTACAAGAGCTAACATGCAAAGGAGTAATAGATCCACACCTCCCGACTGTGCCTGATCTGCAAAGTGCCACATGGCAGGCACAGCGGATGAGTGCGTGTGATTGTTTAGTCCTTACAGGCCAAGGCTGCACCATCATCTTCATCTTCCACATGAGAGGACTGGGATGCAGAGATGTTAAGTAACCTGCTCAGGGTCACACAGGTCAGATTTCTTTGACAGTTATACTT